TATATATATATATATATATATATATATATATATATATATATATATTTATCCTAGTAATATTGTTTAATATCCTAGTAATATTTGTTTAATATCCTAGTAATATATGACTCTTCTTTAAAAGATTTTAATAAATTTGTTGTTAAATCTAATTTAAATCTAATTGAAAATACAAATGCATTTTAAAGTCAATTTATCTGAGAAAATGTAAAACCTAGACTAATTCAAAATTCATTAAAATCTACCATTAAATTTTTACTAGTACATTTTACATTTACAATCCTCTTAAAAAACTTAACCTAAAATTACTAAAATGTAATTAGCTTAAAAAGTTAAAGAATATTAAAGTCTATATAAAAATGATTGCAACTTAATTTGTCACGTATAAAAACAACTTATAAATATAAAATTGGAAAATCAATCACGATTAGAACAACTTGAGATATAATAATACGATTTAGAAAGGCTAACGACTTAGGAAGTGCGTTTAATCGCGTTAAAACACTGAACAAGCGAGAATATCTACGACATGGAGGAGTGCATATATATATATATATATATATATATATACACGTATAGCACGATATGTAAAATCCGTCCGGATGAATTCCGGTGGAAAGGTTGCCACGTCTGCGCCAACAATTTTGTTCGAAACTCAATGAAACGCCACGTTCTAATACTAGCCACGATGAAAAATTACCCCACCTTCCATTCAATTAATTCATCGCGATATAATTCACCTAAATACGGAGAGAATAAAAGAAAAAGCCTTAATAATCTGATTTTTCAGTTTGTGGAAAAAGAGAAAAGGACTGGTTTCCTAATACCTAAGAAACAAAGAAAAATTTAATTTTCCAAATATATATACTTTAAATATTATCTCGGATCGCGGTTCAGCGAGAAATTTGGAAGAAAAGGAGAGAAGAGGTAATAAATTCCAAATATAAAATTTTAATTTTGGATAGTTAATAGTTTTTAAGAAAAATTAATGAAAAATTTTCAGCACTATACATTGAATTTCTATATAAATCTAATTATCTTCGTTGAAGAAATTGTTGCTAAATTTTCAGTTGTTTCCATGCAAAATTTGTCTCTTCACTGAGACCGCTTTTAAATTCTAATCAACATCTATTACAAAATTATTACTATTCGAAGCGTATCCGAAAATAATAGTAATTGCCACCATCTGAACGCCTGAATGCTTTTATCTACAAATTGATTTTTTTGTTTTTTTTAATTTCTTAATATCATATTTGGTAAGTTAAATGTATTATCCTATATTATAATTCTTGATTATTCTTGAAAATAAGTAATAAAATTTTAGATGAGACATTCTATAGACACTGAAATCGACAATTTACAACTCTTCTCTCTTGCATATTATATAAAAATATAGATACCACAAACGATAATCGTGTCACGTACTTCCATCACGAATAACATTGGTGTGTTTTAAACTATTGTATCTCCTCACAAGGTCTAGACGACAAATTTTATGGTAAAGGATAAAGGTTAATTGAAGGAAGAAAAAAGGATAAGAACTTAAAAAAAGAATGTACATGAGAAATAAATAAGTAATAAATGAAAAAAGAGAGTGAAAACAATGAAAATTTTAGGCTTGGTTAAATAGAGAAATAGAATATTCAGAGAAGGAAGAAATGGAAAATTATGAGCAGAACAGGAGTGGAAAGATTAAGATTCTGCACGTATAATAAAATAGCGAAAAAGATATAAATATATAAAATATATAAAGATAAAAATAATATAATATATAACTATTATCATACGTTATTGTTTTTCGATGGTATCTAATAAAGTAATGTATTTTATCCATATTTATGTGTGTGTGTGTGTGTGTATATTAAATAATGATACTAAAAGTGATTTCTATAAAACAAGATTAAATCAAAATGCATAATGCATAAACTAAAAATTCAAAAAAAAAGAAAAATAAAATTCCAAAGCAAAGGAGTAAAATCTGAAAAACTCAAATTTTAAAACGCAAAAATGCAAGAGGTATAACTCAAATACAACTTCAGTAGATTAAGAGAAAATAAGCAACTTGCATACTAACGAGATTTACGGTGTGAAAAGTTAGGAAGAATATGACTGCAGCTTATGACTCGCATAAAAGCTAGATAGAAGATCCGAATTGAAATTGTACATACACTTGTGTGTGGAGAATAAAACAAATAGTTGGAAGGATAGAAAGATGTCAAGAGATGTGGCAAGTTGGATGCAATTAAAAGAAAACGGGCCGTATCACGAAATAAAAGCCGGATAAATGAATATCCTGAAAGCGAGTAAAATAGGTCGAAGTAAAAATAAGGAAAGATCGATGACGAGGATTTGGACTGAACTGAAACGAGTATGAAAAGTTGGCGGAAGATGAAAATAGGAATAGAGTTGTAAATCTGTAAGAAATGAAAAAAGAAGAAAAAAGAAAATTGCAAAAAGGATTGATAATTGTAGATGTGATGAAGGGGACTTGATAAAGCTCAGATTAAATTTTCTAGCGAGGCCAAGATAAAAAATGCCGATATACCCGATATATGTAAGAAACATGCAAGTTTGTGCAAAAAATGTATCTCAAGATACAAATATTGCATCATCTGAGATAAATCATCTGAGTTCGATCTCTATATTTTCAAATACGTTTTAATTACTCCACTTATAAAAGATCAAATAACACTTTGTGTCATATGTTTTGAAATCTGGATTTTCGTTTTAATAACTTCTATAATTTGGATTCTTCGCTTTCTACTTCGAGTAATTCTTCTTTTTATTTTTTCAATATTACGTTTTTATAATAATTTCAAAGAAAAACCAAGGGAAAAAAAGAAAAAGAAAACTTAACCTAACTTATCATCCAGAGTTAGACTCTAAGTTCAACCGATCAACCGAGGGATGGCGAACGAACAAGAAGCTGACTTAAAGAAACCAATCAATTCGCATTAGAAAAAACGAATCGATGACAACAAACAACGGGGAAAAAAAAGAGAAGGAAAAAAGAAAAACGAAAGAAGAACAAAAAGCACAGAATAAAGCAGAAATCAAATGGCAGGCAGAGGTTCACAGAGCGAAACAGAACATACTTGGACGACGTATAGCGAAGAAATCCGGTGAAGCGAGACAACCGCACAATCTATACACGAGAGATGAAACGAGTGAGCAAACGAGAGGCGACAACGTAACCGAGAATCACCGCGAGAGACGGAGTAAGTCCGTCTAAAGGGAAGAGCGGTGGAAGAAAGAGAGAGAGAGAGAGAGATTGTGGAGGATGGTGGGTTATAGTGACGTCACGTCGGGTCGATACTCACCCACACTCTATTTGCCGGCGTGGTGGTGGGCTATGGGGGCGCAGGCGCGGCCTCGTACGCTCCTGAGCTCCTTCCCGCCATATTAGCCAGCATGGGGTAGGCGAGGATGTTGAACAGGGGTGATACGGGCTGCTTCTTCTCCCACAAGGTAATCCGTGTACCTGTGTCGCGTGGTCCTGGCCCTGCGCTCTCACGTATCTGTTCTTTCATCTATCCTGCAGTGTCTATAGCCGTCTAAAACCGACTAATTTGGGCCCCGATAAACGCAAACGTCCCCGTAGTCAAGGTGTACAAGGGTGGACCGGTGTGCCCTAGTTGTTGGGATTCTCGTGATTCCTTCCTTGACACTTGGTGAGATATATATAATCCTCGAGGAGTGTGCTCGCGTGTCACGCATGGATAAACGCACGAATAGCATCACGGCGAGGACCACGGATCTCGACACCTCGACAGCAAAGGGGAAGAAGAGAAGCAGAGGGCCTGGACATCGGGTGAAACGAGGAAGAGAAGGGTTGAGAGCAGCTGCACGATCAAGGGTGAGGAACTCCTCACCGCTTCCGACGGCCTTCCCGAGGACACGTCTAACAAAAGAGGTTGCAAATCGGCCGCGCAAGTGTGGATGTCTTTATTGTCCCTGTGCGACCGGATGTGCGGCTCTGCCGCGTGGCTCGTCCTCTTCACATGCCTCCACGGGGTGCGTTTTCCTGCTCGCGTGATCTGCTTTGAGTAAAGGGAGAAAGGGAAAGAGAGAGAAAGAGATTACAATGTGGAACGTGTGCCGGCTACTCGCGTGATGAAAACGTATATAGTATGTGCACAAGAATAGCAAACCTGTTTGAAACAATTCTTATAGGGATGATGATGGTGGATATATAGATGTATAGAACGATGAATGGTGAAAATTGTAATTGAGCAGGAAGCAATGCTCATAATTGGATTAATTTCTTGTCTTGTCAATGGAAATCCAATGGAATATTTTTTAATTATTATTATTATTATTACTCGATTTTTAAATATCGATATTATGGTATTTTGAATATTGCTAGAAACATTAAAATTTTATATTAAATTAACGATTAACAAAATAATCGTTCCAATTTTTCATCGAAGAATTAAGGATCGTCTTAATATTAGGGTAAGACACTTGACCGTTTACCCTGATTTCTAGTTATATTAACCTCTTTACAGATACAGAAAACTGCTTTATGGAAATTGAAGTTTTTCCAAGAACTAGAGGGAAACGTTGCGCTGTTTCTGACTGAATCTAATTGATGCAGATTCTGTAACAAGCGGTTGTTTTCTCAAGCATTGTTTGCGACTCTTAATGAGTTCTATCTGAGTACTTGTGTCCGCAGTTTCTCATTCACTGTACGGAACCTTTGCTCACCCTGATCAGCTTAAGATGCACACAATTGAGGCAATTTACTATGCGTCAATGTAAAGTGTCTTCCAAAGAATAAAATGATGAATTCGTCAATTAATAATTTAAATATCAGAGAATGATCAAACCAATTGAGGGTTTTTTCTATATGTTTCAGTTTAATATAATTTTATTTACTTATCCTTCGATTCTTTCGAAGCATACTTGTGAAATTATCCTTAATCAATCATCACTCCAATCTGTGGAATCATAAAAAGAAGTTTTTCATTTAACTAATTGTAAGAATAATCATATAATAAGATAAAGTGAAATTATTCTGTCTCTGTTACACCATTATCGCGCTCTATCCCCGTCTTGCTTCATCTAACGAATAATTTAAATTATTTATAAGTTATAATAAATAAGTTAATCGATATTTTTGTATATCAATTTTCGTATTTATTTTCGATCTCTTGAATTGACCCTACAAAAAATATCCCACGAATATATTAACACTTTATATATTTATGACTCGTTAAACTTTGAAATTTTAATATTACACGGAAGCAAAAACCATTTTGAATTTTTATTTTCAATAATAACGTTGAAAATAGATTTAAATTATTTTGAAATGTGTTTCAGCTTGAATGGCTTTGTTAATCTTTAATAAAAAAAAAAAAAAAAAAAAAAAGTACAGATTATTAATGCAACATTTAAGAAATAATTAAAACCTTGGTCGGAAAACGAATTATTAATAAGATCTTAATTTTTCAGAATGGAAGAGAAAAGAAAATTGCGATCAATGTTTGCACAAAGCTGATTATTATCTCTCTCATTCGTAGTCATGATAGTAGTACTGTCTTTGCATTAATGTCCAACAAAGAGATTTCTATTTTTCGACGGATCCTCTCTGAAACGCGTACGATTGTTCGTAATTTCACAGGGAAAACCCACTTGAGAACGCTTGCAATTTTTACGAGCTTCTAATCAGCCCGTTGATCGAATCTCGCGTGTAACCACTACAAAGAAACTCCCTTCCCATTTAGCACGATTTGCTGGAGCTTTTAAACCGATCAGAAATCTCCTGAAGATTTTTCATGTATCAGTAAACATTTTGATTTTATATTATTATATTATTATTTTATTATAAGACTTGATTTATATATAGACTTATTTATTATAAGACTTGATTTATATCATGTTATCTACATATTTTATTTATTTATTTATTTTTTTTTTTAGACAATTGTAATATGAAATTAATCAAGTATTTAGAAAATTACATAAGTTTTAATTTCTTATAAATTAATAATGATGTTTTTTTTATTGTTTTTTATTGTTAATATATTATTTATATCTTCTTGTACTTTATATAAAAAAAAATTTTTGAATTAAAATTTTTTATCTTTTTTTCTTTTATTAATCCTTAGTTAGAAATAGATTAAAAATTGATGTAAAAAGACAAGGAAATTAGAGAACAAGAAAAAGCTAGAGAGAGAAAGCTAGGAAGATCAAACTATAGATTGAATCAATGATTAAGTTAACAAAAAAAATTATTAATCATAATATTAATTTAATTACAGGAGGCCGGGGGGAAGTGACAGACATAAGCGCAAGTCCTGGAAGGCAAGCACCTGCCAACCAGTTGCGCCCCAAAGAACCACCCCCCATGGTCATTCAGGGAGACTTCAGGAAGGTACTTCAGGATTTCCATAACGCTTATTCTCTTTAAATATTTATTAAAAACGTATCTTTTTTTTTCTCCTGATTATTTTACACGTCAGAGAACATCATGTTCTTATTCTATTTCTTTTCTTGATAAAACCAGATTTCAGAATCCCATAGGAAAAGCTAGACTATCCTATTATTTTCTAGACTATAAATATCCTAATCTAGACGGTGATTAAATTTCCAAGGAGCCAATTGATAAAGCTAATTACTTCAAAAATGAAAATAGATAAAAGAGAATAACAGGAAAGGAGAATTGGATTAGAGAACATCAATTTATCTTCTTCATAAAACTGTTCCAGCGATTCGTGTGATATATCTTTTAATTAATATTACAAAAAAAAGAAAAAGTTAAATAATATTTTTTTATAGTATTTAAAAAAAATATTCATTCTAAAATGTTTCTTTCAGTTCTAGGAAAAAATATATTAAAATATTATGTTTAATTACTGGAATAGTTTTATGCCATTTTTCATTAAAATACCTGTTCATGGCATTCCTGTTGAAGTGGAAGGACATGTCGTTGCAGGTGAGTGGAATCAGTACAGAGATATTCAAGCAGATCGAAACCGTCGAGAACGATCATGACGCCTCGACAGCAGCTGCCCTCGAAGCTGTCGAACGAAGGGGTGAGATGGTTGTCCGGGTCATCGAGCCACGACAGATGGGCAGGCAGGCGTCCGAAGCGGCGAAGAAGTTCATTGCTATGCAGGTATTCACGCGATTCTCTTTAATTCTGAATTTCTAATCAGACAACTTATCTATAAATATTGTATATATTTTTTATATTTCTAAAAAAAACAATCTTAATTCGTTAAATAATTATAAAATAATAATACTTTTTGAAATATTATTTTTAAAATATATTTAGATATTTTAATAATATAATTACCCATATTTCAGGATCCAAAACAACCTATCCATTTTGTTGAAATAATTAAAAGACCAGGACAAACATTGGGATTATACATACGAGAGGGTAATGGTGTCGACAGAAATGACGGTGTCTTCATCTCGAGAATAGCTCTGGAGACCGCAGTCTACAACAGCGGCTGCCTGAAGGTTACCCCTTTTTTGGACTTTTAATTATCATTGTATTCTTTTAAGTAAAGTCAATTTGAATGTAGTGTTTACTGTAATTCTTTTTATGAAAATTATGATTATTAATATTTATATTGAAAAATATATTTCTATATTTTTTTCTATTACATATATAAATAATATAAGGATTATTTTTTTTTTTTTGTAAAAATTTTTAAATATCGTTATTCTTCTTACTTCTTTCAATTAGGTTGGAGATGAGATTCTAGCAGTGAATCTGGTCGATGTGACGCACATGAGCCTGGACGACGTCGTAATCATTATGTCGATACCCAGAAGACTCGTCCTGGCGACAAGACACGGCCAACACCAGCCAGTTTCGCACAGTCGTCAGACTGAACATAAGGCACCTCCAGTTGTAGTGATCAAGAGAGAGCTAAACGAAGATGAGAGTGATCATGCAACAAGCAATCATGTCAGGTAATCGTTTAGACAAGAATCTGATAGAATTAATGTAATTGTTTAGATATATTGTTATCCAAGAAAGAAAATCAATTTTTCTTAATTTAATAGAAAATAAATTTCTAACAATAGAATTCTTCCTTAATTCCTTAAATTGTCTAATGTTACTTAATGTTAATTATTAGCACTTATTTCATAATTGAATACCTTAAAATAATGCTATTTATTAAGTTTAAAAAATATTTTAAATTTATTGATTGGATTATTTTATTTTATCTTTTTTAGACTTTAATTTAGATTCCATTATGGTTGATTAAAAATGGTAAAATAGGTCATAAATACGAGACTGTTTGGAGAAATCAGAAAGTTAATAGAATTATCCAATTTTGTGATTTAATAATAGGGATGGCAATCGTAGACGTGGCGATGGTCGTGAGATGTTACCTTCCCGATCAAGGTTAGGTCTGACAGGTCTAGGTTCCAGTCAAGATCTCGGATCCAGCAATGGCGATCTGTATTACAATTCCAGACCGGAAGGGCATTGGTCTTATCAACCACCACCGCCTCCTGTAATTACACATCAGCCTAAACCCTCTACAACACAACATTTCCAGCCTTATGAGCGTGGATATCCAAAAACATTGGAGAGTTTGGCTGAAAAAGTAAGCTTTATAATGCTTTATACATTCTTCAAAACTTTAACGCAGGTCGAGATTTAAAAGAATATCAAATGACAAAATATTAAAAATTTAATGTAAGGATTAAAATCGATAATTAATACAGAATTAATATTGATTGGTAAGTTTTGAATTCAGATTAATAAAAAACAAATATAATTTTGGAAAATTTGAAGAGATTGAAAGAATTCTGATCAAATTTTGTATTTTATATTGATTAAAAATCTTCACTTGCGTTTTCATATAGATCATAGATGTTCTAGACGATGTGGATCGAGCACCCTTTCATATATCTGTCTGCACCAAGTTGACACTTGTTTGCCCTTCTCTGTCTTCAATTGCAATAGCGATTCGAATAAGAAAGTGGTGAATTCGTGGCAATGTCTCGAGACACTCCTGATAATGATCAGTATGCTGTGTGCCATCTTAATTTTCAAGTAATTAAAATAGAAAAGAATATAATATTATCAAATATCCAATATCAAAATGTTTTTCAATCAAATATTTCAATTGACTTGGAGAATAGATGGTTCACAGTTTGCTCGTGTTTCGACCACGTGTTTCACATGACTAATCGGTTCTATGAATGAATGCTACATTGATATTAACCAGGATTTTACAAAGGTAAAGAAACCACTAACTCTTTCTTGATATCTAGATTTGTATATGCAGCAATTCCCTGCACCGTATACCATATGGACAATGGATAAATATTTATATCTAATATTATATGTTAATATTATTATATATACAAATAAAATATAATTTATTAATTGTGAAAAAGTAATAAATATTTATTAATGTCCAGGTAGAATTGAACATCTGTCGCTATTTATGATGTAATTCCACTTTTTGTTGTTTTGTAAGCTTTGCTCTGTATGTTCGTTCTTTCTATTTCTTTCTTTCTAAGTATTATCTCATCTTGTGGCGACTCGTGATCGTCATATATCCATCACAATGATACATGGATTTCTATATAATCCACTAAATAATCTGTACAATAATCTATATAAAGAAATTCATCAATCATGATGGAAAAATGATTAATTTAACTTTCCTTCACAAATCACAATCGATCTAACTATCTTAAATAAATTATGAAAAATCTATTATGATCTAAAGGGCTTCTGTTAAGAAAGTTCAGTCAAATGGTCGATTGTGAAATGGAAGGAAAAAGAAAATTATAAGGAAAGAAAAGAAAATGAATTAATTTGATTGAATTTAGGTACACTCGTTCTACACGGGGCCAGTTATGCCCTCTAATGGTGGCCGCCGGATGTCCACGGGTGCAGGAATGCAATCAGTTGGTAGCAGATTATCTAGTCAAACTCAATCAACGCATTATGGTTATGGTCAGCATACTGGAACTGGAAGAATCATGCCTAGAAGCGGTTCGGATCAACATTTACCTCGGGTTGATTACACGAGCATCACAACTCCAGCTAGACATACTCTTCTTAGATCCAGTTTGAAGTCAGGTTCGCTACTTTACACAAAAATTGTTTCAACTTCTTTTTTTTTTAATTCTTCGCTTATTTTGTGTCATTTCTCTCTTGAACAGGAACTTCTGCGTTGAGATACAATACCAGATATGGTACTCAGGGAGATAGCGCGTCAACTACACAAAGACAAGGACAATTTGGTACCCTAACCAGGAGGCATCGACCATCATTGGATTATGCTTCCGATACCGAAGCAACTTGTTCAAGTTCGCCGAAATCGGCTTATTATTATTATAGGCATAACATGAATAATCCGCCACAAAGTAGTGCTGTCTCGCATCTTGCCACTCTCTCGAGATCACAGATTGGTCAGAGTTCCTCAGGTTAGATTATTGTCGCTTTCATCGAAAAATTCATTCGTTTCTTGCTTTTGAAAAAAAAAAATTTCAAATCGTGATCATGCTTTCTCTAGGCTTGAGATCGAATTCGTTGCCTCGTAGTGGCAGAACGTTGCCTCAGCAACCAGGTCTCAGGTCTGGACTTAGCACAGTAGCATCTGGACTAATAGATCAGGAAGATAGCGATGGTGCACTGTCAGCGCCTGAACTACCTTCCATCAGACGCGATAGAGGTTAGTTCAAATAGCGAGTCGATTCAGATATTTCGAGTATAATGAGAACACTGAGAATTCTATTGATTGTAAACGGCAGGAAGAATACCGTCATCACCTAGTGTGTTCACATCAGATGAGTACCGGGCATGGTTGAGTCGAACGCCGAGTACCAGTGCATTATATGAGCAGATCAGAGCCACTACAACCAGACCACCACGTTATACCTACAGTGCAGAAAATATTCATGCAGCTGCAAATCAAGTAAGTAACATATACTAAATTATATTTTCATCAAAGAGATCAGTTCTCTAGAAACTTTCTTGTTTGTTCGTACTTCTCTTTAGGGTGAATATGGAAGCTATGGAGCATACAGACCACTTTCCAGCACGTTAGATCGTTTGTCAACAAGATCAGCTTCTGCACAACAAGTGAATCTTGCCAATTTAAGAGCATCGACGGCAATAAGTTCAACATGTCCTCGTGGAACAGCGAATCAAAGACCGGCCTCGGTTGCATCCAGTGCTCGTACTTCTTTGACGAGTCAGAAACCATCATTGAGTAGCTCCACTACCCAGAGAGCAACGTCAGTCAGGAGAATCAGAAATCTGCTAGACTTAGAGTCCACGCGAAGCATACCTACCCCCACGCCTACCAGAACTCAGGATCAAAGACTGCTAGATATTAATCCTGCAGGTAATTAATGGAAATTGCAAAAATATATTTTAGTATAATTTGAAAAATCTAATTTAATTATATTATCTTTGTAGAGTTCCTTAAATATAAGATAGAAAAACCTCCAACTGTTGGAACTCCGAGCTCTACCAGCTCTCTTTTGAGTTCACTTGGAGAAACTAGCAGCGGCGATTTGGCGGGAGGCGTTAGCGGACTTCTCTGGGTTCATCTTCTGGCTGGGCGTGGTCTTCGTTCGACAACATCTTCTTCAGCAGCCACTACACCTTCTACACCATCAGGTCAGCCTAATTTAGGTACGTTCGGGAGTCTGCACATCCCTTAGATTATTTCTTCACTGCACAAGCTTTATATATATATATAAAACACTTTAACAAATTTGTTTTTATTTTAAATGTGTAGTAATTCCTATTACCTGAACTCTCGAATGCTAAAAAATATTCGAAAGTATTATGCATCATCAGTAAAATTTAAATTATTCTTTTTAAATATTCTGACATAAAAATTTGAAAAGTAGCAAAATATGTATGTTGTTCAAATAGCTAGTTGCGGTTTGAGAGACCTTTACTGCGTACTGGAGTGCGATAGAGTACACAAGGCGAGAACAGTGATGCGAACCGGTGATTTGATGTTCGACTGGGACGAAACCTTCGAGCTGGATCTCGTTGGCAACCGTCAATTAGATTTGCTGGTCTATTCATGGGACCCACAGTATAGGCACAAGCTGTGTTACAAAGGATCTGTACATCTGGCGACTCTTTTGAAGGAGTCACCAGTTCATCAGTTAGCTGTCAAGGTCGAACCACGTGGCACAATTTATCTAAGACTGCGATACACTGATGCTCAACAGACATTCCGAAGAAGAGGACTTCCGGTTATATCTCTTGCCACAAGAGTGGCACCCCTTTTCGGAGTTGATCTTGACACGGTGGTAAATAAAATATTCAAAGTATTTGGTTGAGATTAAAAATTAAATTTTCTAAAATTTAATGATTAAGATGTTAAAAAAAAATAATAATTTGAATTAGGTAAGTCGAGAAAGCAAGACTGGTGGAGTTCCTGGAGGCGTTTCTACCGCTTTAGCAATGGGCGTTCCAAATGTGCCCATAATTGTATGGCGTTGTGTCGAAGAAGTTGAAAGAAGAGGTCTTGATATTATTGGTGAGTCAATTGGTTACAAATTTAAACTTCTATTTGATTTTGAATAATTTTTCAAGTGATTTGTTGAATTAGGTTTATATAGGCTTTGTGGATCAGCTACGAAGAAGAGGATACTTAGAGAAGCTTTTGAAAGGAATGCTCGTTCGGTGAACTTGTCGCCTGATAATGTGCCAGATATCAATGTCATTACTGGTAAATTTTTTAATTAATTTTAATTTCTAATATTATAATATTATATATCGCAAATAAAATTATAATGATTTTAAATTATTATTTAGGTGTATTAAAAGATTACTTGCGAGAACTTCCAGAACCACTCTTCACGAAGTGCCTCTACCAAATGATGGTCGATGCACTGGCCGTCTGTCTACCAGATGATCCACAGGGCAATGCAAAACTCATGTTTAGTATACTTGATTGTTTACCAAAAGTGAACAGGGTTCGTATCTAAGCTTAAACTATTTATAAATTTTGATATATCTTGAGGATATTAACTTAATTATTTATTTAACAGTGTACATTAATATACTTGCTCGACCATTTGGCAATGGTGGTATCCCAATGCAATAAAATGTCTCCAGCAAGTTTGGCAGTTTGTTTTGGACCAGTATTAATGCTACATTCAGAAGAAAATGGGCCACCTCTGGATTTCCAACAACCAATAGCAGTTCTCAAATATCTTCTTGAGATTTGGCCTGTTAAGTCAGGTAATGTTGTCATTTCTAATAATTAACTTATAATTAACATTTTTATTTTTTTATGTATATATGTAATAATAAATTTATGTATATATGTAAAGTAATTATTTTATCAGGCTTTTTTTAAAATATGATAATTAAATTATAAAATATAATGAAAATTTATTTTAAATTATAATAATCATAATGAAATTTAGTCTGATAAAATAACTGAATCGCAAAAATAAGAGCCGAATAATCAGTCGCTTATTTCACAGACAGTTCGGAAGATTTCTTCAGTCGCTTCAGCGCTTCCTCGAGCTACGCCAGCAGTCGAGCACAACAGTCAACAGCAACTGCAGCAGCAGCAGCAGCAGCAGGTACAGCAACAGGTACAGCAACAGGTACAACAGCAGTTACAGGGAACATTGGGGCGCACAGGGCTGTCTTGGCAGCCTCAACACTCACTTCATCAACAGCCCCCAACTACGGCACCACCCGTAGCTCTCGCGTCCTCCACTCGTCCACCACCACCGGTCAAGCCTCGACAGGTCAGCTTTCAACTCAGTAGAGTTATTGTTTTATCTCAGCGACGTTTGTTCCAATCTTTCGCCTCTCTTACCGCCGCTTTCTCTGTCTGTGCAGATTGCATTTACTCCACTGCTGTTGATATCTATATAAATGAAAAAGCACATTAAAAATATTAATAAGAGGGAATATATTTGGATCACTTTTCTCAAGCAATACTTGTGAATTTCTATGTCTCCCATTATACCATGTTGCTTATAATTATTATTATTTATTTCTTTTTTTATATTTGATAAAAAATGATATAAATTGAAATAATACAGAGGATAGGCGGAAGGAAGGTTAAAAAGATAAGAAATCATTACTTTTCTGGACTAAAATTTTTCTTGTTTTTCTTATTTTAAACCTTAATAAAAATATATATATATATATATTTAAACCTTAATAAAAATATATATATATATATATATATATATATATAATA